GGCATGACTGCCCTCAGTCACATGCAGTCGTAGTCAGATTACATTACTGCTCACACAGTGGCCTTGCAGGCTGTCCATGAATAAAGGTTCTCTGCAGACAGCAGCTCTACATTCTGAGAGACCACATTTATAAGGCAGTCACTTATTTCACACTTACTTCTATGTATGAATATATAATCGAGGAGAGAAAGATGAACAGTGATGCAGTTTAAAAGCTACAGTAAGAAAATCTGTGCCATGGGCAGCAGAAAGGCAGCCTTTCCATCTAGTTTTCTGAAGGTTTCATTGTAAACTTATAACCTAGGATGAGGATGAAGCATGTCTGCTAAGTGCACTGCCCATAACTAGGGCAAGAATCCACTTAGTTCTAAACAAATGAATTCCTGTCTCTGAAATTAACTCTGCAGCAAAGATAGATTTTTAGGCTATGTTTTCACGAAGAACTGACACAAGAGAGTGGTCATACCACTGACTATGCCTCCAGCAGAAACAGAATGATTGTGCAACCAACTCAAGTTAAAAAATTGCTTCAAGAAAATGTTTTTATATATAATTCCACTCAGACCTGAGTTCAGTTACAACTTAACTCTCAACCTGGAGTGAAAAAGAAGCAAGGGTCAACCTACACTAACCTTTTTATCTGCAGAACATCAGATTTCACTTGTTTGTGCTAGCTGGTATATTGTGAACTGCATATGGACTCCACCAGCTCTTTGTGCTGCTCCGGGAGCACCAGCTAGAAGATCCTGGTGACATAAGACATTACTTTCTTGATGAGCAGCTGGGCTCATATCTTAACCTGAAACAACCAGTTGAAACTCTGTGTGCAGACAGTCTGAAGCTATCAAAAAGAAATCTTGTAGGTGTGCTAATTAAAATGGTCTTTTTCAGCTGAACAGTTTAGCATCTAGGAGACCTAAAGAGGAGGGTTCTATCAGTAAAATAGCTATAGCTATTTTAAGTTTGGTAGTGCGGAAGTAAAACCAGGGAGTACATTTATACCTAGCCTAAGAATTCCATAGTAAATGCTGAAGATTTAAGTACTGTTGTCATAGGTTCCATCAATGAATGCCCTTACTGCCTTGCCAAAATATCTAACCAATCTTTTTCTTGTTCAGATTGATCTGATATGAACATTGGGTTTCAATGCATGCATTACAAGCTTTATTGGCACTGTAAAGCTGGCAAGTGGATCCAATCAGATTCATAATCACTATCTTTCTGACTCCAGAGCATCTGTATACTGTGGGCAGACTGTTCAAAGAACACGTAAATCACTTATGCATCCGAATAGAAGTAAGATCCATGCCAGTTTAGCATGTGGTTTTTGAAATGCAAATTGAAAGGTTGAAAATGGGCTTCTAGTTCTGAAGCATCCTGGTGAATGCAAAGATATCAGATATCTCTTTGTCAAGAGATCTAAACACTGCCATTATAGCAATCATTTTCTCTAGTCCTGAAGGGTGCATAAAGCCTGGGAAGGCTGTTCCAGATCTCCATTGAAAATATAACTGCTACTTTCTCTATTCTCCAACCATGTAGTAACAGTTCTAACTGAAAAATGCTAAAAATACACAGTATCAACTTTTTAAGTTTGTAATGGCACTTCTATCAATATTGGTGGAAAGTATCTATACCCATTTTCTTTGCATTACCCTCTAGCTTTGCCCTGCCAGTTTATATCACAGTTCAGTTTTGAAAAGTAAAAAATTCTTTGTGATACCAAAGGCATGATGCCAAAGCTCATATCTTCCTCCTACTGTATGGAACCCTGGGTAGTTCTGTTCTCTTTTTACTTGTATTGGTGGAGAACCTTTTATTATTTAAATATATTTCTCAAATCCTTTCTTGTCCCTGCAGTTTTTGACCTCTTAAACAAGTGTTTCTTTGTTAATCAGATCCTTATTCCTTTCTGCATACGCTTTCTCCTTGTTGTGAAGTGTCTTTGTGAAGTAGTCAGCTAGCCAGCAGATCTGTATCCTGCAGGTTTTTTAACCCCTGTGTTGTTTGTACTATAAATTCTAGACAGTTTTACATTCATCAACTGAAAGGAATTTAAATCTTCCTTCACATCCATCTCCTGGTGTCCTCAACCTGAATCTTAAAACTGAGAAATTTCTTCAGTTTATCAAAGTTTATCCAAGTTTCTCCTCTTGAAAGAGAAAACATTTTGTAATAAAATTTTCTTTATCTTTTAATGCATTTTTTTTCATCTCTGAGTACAAGATGAATTATGTCATTATCATACAACCCAAGATTATTTCCCATGGCCAGTTTTTCCATACCAGCTGTGCTGATTACCAGTGCCAGCTCTTAAAGCACCACCTCTCGATTCAGGGAACTTGACCAATAAAACTAAGGAATCTTTAAGAAGCCATCAACTTTGTCCTGAAAGGTTTGGCATTGCAAAACACTGGCTTGCAGGTAGATCAGCAATGTGCTTCAATGTTGAGGGGAACCATAAAATAAGGGGAATGACTCAGCCATCAGATTTAGGAACTTCTCTATTCTCTAGGCTATTGCTAGAGCTTTTTAGTTCTAATAGTGTACCACAGATGAAGCACTTTGCTGTAGAAAGAGAATGCATAAGGTGTTGGGTGTTTTCTATCTGCCCCAATTTCAAAGCTGAAAATGACTGGTTTCAGAGCTTTATAACTATTTTAGCTTTTCAATACCCAAAATGAAATCTTTCCTCTCTTTGTGAGAGACATAAATTTAATTAAAATAAATTAATTTATTTGTTGTTATTATTTGTAACTTGGCTGGAAAACATATTCCTAAAATAGTGTTGAAATCCTTGATAAAAGCATGCTTTTAGTTATACACGGTTCAAAATGCTTTAGAATATTGACAGAAAATTTATACTTCATTTGTTTTTGCAAATTTTTATGAGAATATCACAAATCTACAAAATTTCAGTTAACCTCAGTTCATATACCTGCAACATCTATGACTTGGTTTCTAAAGTCATGAATACTTGTGGTAAACAAGGGGTAAGGAAGCACTCAAGAAGTGTTTCCTCAAAACGTCAGATTAAACTAAATATAAAATGTGCTTCTCAGATGGTCCTCTCAGACCATCTTGGTGAGACAAATTTGGTGAGACACTGCTTTCATTGGTAACTGTTCAAAACAGATGTAAAGTCTGAAATCAGCATGATAACATTTAGTATTCCCTTTGCACTTTCTGCCCAGTTGATCTCACAGGACAGAAGATTTGGATAACTTGGGTTGTAGGAGATCAGGAAGAGTTAAAAAGGGATCTTTTCCTCTGCTGAGAGTGAACAGAAGGGAGAGCCTGTAAGTTAAAAATCAAAGAGTTCTTAGAGACATTTCTGGTTTATAAGCTCCCAAATAGTACTCTATGTATTAATTCACATGCATTTTTGAAAACTGAGTTGTAACTAATTCTATAAAGCAAAAACTGAAAATTGAAAGTGAAAAAAAATATCAAACATCAGATAATCCTCTTCTTGAAGGAAAGGTCTATTAATGTGAGCATCAATCCTGCTTTCTCCCTGTTCCTCTATCAGGAAAAAATCCCAGTCAGTGTCAGGCTAATTGTGATCCATCTACCTTTGCAGTTCTCCTTCCATTCCCTTATGACCAGGCCTGCTCTGCAGTACTGGAGCTAAAGGTAATCAGTTTAGCACATGAATATGATTTGATTATATTTGTTTTACATAGGCTATAAACCTGTCCAATCTGTTTTAAAAATCTTTTCAGTGTTCAATTCACTTAGTTTTTGTGGAATTGAATTCCCTGCCTGAAATATATTAGGCAACTGGGGTTAGAAGAGTGGAGAAATTTTTATTTTTTCCCTTTAAATACAAAGCTCTCTTACTTTCTTGGAATACTTCTTCATTAGAAATATGAGGATTTGGTACAAAGGTTCCCATCAGCATTGCCTCTGAGATTTTTAACCACGTACCGATCTTATATTACTTTAGTGCATTGTGTATGATATTCTCCTTCTTTGCAGTTCAGTTGTGGTCTCTTGCTGGCTGGTGCTGGTGATTAGGCTACAGGCAGCAGCTGCTGGCTTGGCAGCCAGTTCTGTTCAAGGAAATGGTAACTGTAGGGTAATGTATGCCCAGTAAAACAAGCTAAAATCATCAGGGGATCCCTAAACAAGAGCTTGCTATATCGAAAAAGAAGCAGTCTCTAAAAAAACTCTAAAAGGTTTCTAGCAGCCAGGATGCAAGTGGAAGTTGCCTTCCTTTGGAAGTTTACATAATAACTTAATTTAATCCTTCCTGTGGTGTTTCCCAGCCACTGATTTAGTGCCTTGATCATAATACGCTAGGACAAATGTCAGGAAAAATGAGTCTACAAAGTGATGTAAATCTTGTTCTCTATCGGAGATGTGACTATGAGGATTATCTTCATGATATTTTCTTTCTCATGCATTTCTCTGTTCAGTGTTTTTCCAGTCTGTGATGACAGAGCAAAGCAATGACTTCCAAGCTAAAAACCAAAGTTATCTATTATTCCGACTCTGGTGATGAGAGCATTTTAGCTTGCATTTCAAGGCGGAGAAAAGCCATATTAGCAAGGATATAATCTGTAAGATTTGTTATAATGTGGTATTTGCAATAAGCCATGGCTTTTGGCTTTCATACTGTTTTGCACTTGCTTCAGCACTATCATCGGCATGTGTGATGAGACCTACTTTTACGTTTCTATTTCAGCAGTCAAATATTATCAGTCCAACATAGCCATTTCTTGCCTTTCATTAGCTTTATGGCTTTTAGGCTTTAGGAATTTTACTGAATTTTTAAAAAAAAGTCTTGAAAGCAATACATTTATGTAAAAAATTACACAGAAATATATGTGCACACATATAAAACAACAATATCTATCAGTAATGTAATATGGACTAATAAACATAGAAATTACCATCCAATAAAATTTGGACACCAATACTTTTCTGGTTCTTTTAAGCTTTGTATTTATTAATTTAAAAATAAAAATTAAAGGAAAAAAAAGAGAGAAAGAAACTAAGAAGCATTCCATCCCTATGGAAGCATTTATTTGATATCCATTTGATTACACAGTACAGTTGAGGTCATTATACTAAAGGGAAAATAATGGTGGAATGCAGAAGACAGTGAACCAAACAAGAAAATGTTTTGTTACTGCTAATATTTTGGTGTCCATTAGGTAAAGAGTTTTTCTTTTGCCAGTGAAGTTGCAGCTTGCTTTTAATTAATGTTGCATTACTCTTTTTAATAACAGCATCTATTTAAGATATTGTTAATAATAACATCTACTAAAGACACTAATCTAGCTTTAATTTAATGGAAGCATTAAACAGCATCTATTATATGTTCCCAGTTAAATTAGCACGATGGTCTTTTAACGGATGTTTTAACAGACATTATTAACCAGAATATTATAAAATTAAAACAGAACTCAAGAGGTTCTTTGAGTTCGTGTTGTAATACTCTGTGAAGTCACAGATTCTGAAAAATAACAGTTGATGTATTTTTAATTTCATTTAATGGCATTTGGCAAGAGCTACAACAGGCACATGCTTTTATACAGCAGGAGTAAAGACAAATATGTATGGAAGTAAGATGTGGCTGATCTAAAAATTATCTTACATTTTGATCCTGTGGGTTAAATTCTTTAAGAAAGGGTTCTTTATAAACATTTGTGTACAAACAGGCATAGGCACACTTTTTCTTACCAGCTGAAGTGTGTTGAATTTCCTGCTGAAAAAATCTCTGAAAATAACTGAGAGCTTACTTCTTCAGAGGAAGAAATGTGCTTTTTAGAAACTACTATTTCCCGTAGCTTTAAAAAAACCCACTTTTTCTCTTGTTTGTTCGTGAAAATACACAGTGGGTGTGCATAGTCTCAATTCCAGGAAGGCTACTTCTACAACACTTTCAAACTGCAAAGTATTATAAAACTCAACAGATCACAGATCTGCCTATTAAGCTCTTATTTTGGTCAGCAAACATTTAGTACACAGGCAGCAGAGTTTGAACTTTCTCCTTATTGATTTTCTGTTTGTGAGCCACAATCCTGAAAGTAGGTATTTTATCCATGGAAAACATATCGTTCACATCAATGAAGAAGGACGTTGGTCATTATCTTTTCATTTCAGCAGCAATTATGATCAATTCCCATTTTCTGTACTGATCTTCATTCTGCTGTGGGAATGTGGGAGAGAAGACACCTGTCATACATTGAAAAACTTCAGATAAAAGTGGCTTGCATAATCATTTAGCTGACATTCTGAATATGTCATTATCTCTTACATTTGGGTGGACCTTTTTCTGGAACTCTTTGAGTGCTATACAACCAACTCTCCACAAAGTCATAACCAACCCTCCACCTCAGGGTTAGCCAAAAAACTTTTAACTAAATTTTTTTAACCACCAGGATTTTCTCTGAGATCTAATTGTTTTATTTGAATACAAAGCTGTCATTTCATGCAACAGACAAAGCTGGCAGACCTAATAGGAATTCCCATTGGACTTGTTTGAGAAAATTAATCCAACTTCCACTAAAGAAGGACTAAACCTCCCCATCTCCCAGAAAGACTTGTCAGAAAGTGCAAATGACAAACTCTACTTTTCACATAGCTCTCTTGCTACCTGCCCATATCCACCTGGCACTTTGAGATAAGGTCACACCCACATGTGAACAAATGGTGTTTCCAGGCTGATCTGTGTGCATTTAGAAAACATGTTCAATAAGCAAACATTGAACAAAACGAAGTTATAGCCTGAAAGTGGCAAAGCAAACATACAGATCGAGAAAACAAAGGATTTTGTTGAGCTTTCTAAACGCTCAACCTTTTAAAGGTACGTCTTAAACTAATGTGCCTAAAATAATCCTTTGATAAATGAGAGGAACACTTTTCCTGTAACAGTGAACTTTACACTGCATTCTCTAATGCTGTGCAGAGAAGCTCCTGTTGAAAGAACTTGCCGGAACGTTCTTTCAAGAAAAGAAGATTCTTTTATTTAAAATCTCCAGAATTCCCAAAATGCAATGGGGTACATACTTGAAAGCAGATTTTGTAATAATATGGGAAAAAGATGGAGATGCCTGCTGTACTGAGCTGGTTTGATTACACTGTAAAGCCCTTAACAACTGAGTTTAACATATCTTTTGTGAGAAAAAGGATAGGCCTTTATATAGGCCTTTATAACAGGCCTATATAAGTTAGGAAGAAGCCAGCTACTACACGTGCCAGTTTGCCCGTGCTTTTTCTTCAAGTTTGGATGAAAATAGCCCACACTTGTAAATCCAGGGAAAGAATGAAGAAAACACAAGAGTTCAATACTTCAAATAGATGTTGAACTTCTAAATTTCCATTTACCAGCCTTTTCCCTTAAGAAAAACTGCTTCAGGCAAGTTCTGCTGCCCCTAGTATCTGGACACAAATGCCTCCTCATATTTTCCAGCCTTGGACCTGGGAACGGAAGGTTGGGCTGTGATTAGGCTAAGCATCAAGGGGGAATGGGGAGCCTGCATTTCCTCAGTTCCCTCTCCATGTTTCCTGCCTTCATCTCTGGGACCAGGCAGAAGGTCTCTGCAGCGCCAAAGAGAGTGACAGCCCAGGGCTTCACAGAAGTGCCAGCTTACTAGAAAGGATCAGGTCTATTGAAACTGATAATCTGCTCCTGGAACTGCCACATGGCTCAGGACAGGAAGAGGAGCATGGGGGGCCAAGTACCAGTGCCTCCTCTGCATAGCATGGAAGAACCTAAATCCCTCTTATTCAAGATTCGATTAAATAAAAAACATTTGTTGGACAAGGGATGTTGGCTTCTGGGCTTGCTGAGTGGGACACTTGGCTGAAATGAAGTTGACCCAGATCCAATTTTCTGTTCCAATTCCAGTTCCGAAGATGACGGAACAGGGACTTGAACTTGCAGCCTCCATTCCCAAGAGAGTGCCACTAACTTAAAACCTACTAGCTAGAAAAGCTCACGGGATTTTTTAATTTTAATTTTGTTACAGGGATTCAGAATTGGAGCCCATAATTGCTTTCAGCTGTAGTTTCATTGAAACAAATATATTCCTACAGAACTTGATTTAAAACAGATTGGCATTTTCTGCCAACATCAGTGAAACAAGAATATTTTGGGGAGCTATACTAGAGAAAAATTATTTGAAAGAAGGAAAATGGGAAGGCTAAAAGAAGATAATGGCAGGGGATCAAAGATAAAGGTAGGTAAGCCAAAACAAATTCCTATTTGGAAAGGAAAAAACATTTGTCTTCCCTTTTAAAAATATCTCCAAAGCATTCCTGGTTGGCTACCTGTTCTGCTTACAAGGCCAATAGACTTTCTGCTCACCACTGAGCACCAGAACATAGAAGAAGCTGTTTATTAATTCACTGAGTTATCAAGTCAGTTTGAATTGGAAAACTGCATTTACAGCCAGAAATCCATCAAAGCCCCAGCAAGACCTTGATGCCTATTGTAGCCAGCAAAGCTTTCTCTACCACCTTTTTCCTCATCTTTTTACTATTACACTTTCTGAAGTATATTTATATAAGCACTGTTTTGTTTTCTATACTGCCCTCAGGCAGAGCAGGATTCCTTTTTATTGCACTGACATTGTTTTGTCCAAAAGTTTCAAAATCATTCATTAAGGAGACATACCTCCTGCTTTGATCCTTCAAGCATTTGAGCTGACGCATTTGCTTTCCTTAAAATAACAGATTTAATCTTTTGAGCAAATCATCTGATTAGAGGGAAGAAATCTGCATTCCAGTAGTCTCAAAGTGAAAGAGGCTAAATTTGTTAACCAGGAGATAATATAATTTGGTTAGAGCGAAGAAGGGCAATACTGAAAGAATTAAGAGCTTTTTTCACCTCTCCCACTTTATTCAGATACAAAGCAGTCTAAATGTCTAATCTTGCCTGTTTTCCAGCTCTGATATTCCATGAGTTTGGTATTAAACTGGTTTCTTGTAAAGTCTGCAGGACTGGAACCATGTCCCACTTCAATTGCAAACAGTGACGTGATCTAAAAGAGCATCATAGAAAAAGAGTGAAGGATTATTATATCACTAGCAGATGGGCAGAGTCTAGATCAACTCCCAGGTAAGTTGTGGCAAAGTGAAATGATTGCATGGGTATCACAAAGACTAGGCAAGTGGTTAAGAACCATTACAGATATCTGCAAACTCAAGTGAAAACACCTATAGTCTTGTCAACTGTATTTTACAGATTCTGTGCAGACTCCTCAGGAATGTATGAATTCTAGACCAAATTAACATAATTTAACCCAAACAGAAACATAAGAACAGGTCACTAATCTGGTGAAGAAAACCTCAAACCAGAAAAAGCTCTGGAGTTCTAAACCACCAGAAAGCAGTTGCATTTACTGAGAAAGGCATACAAGGAAAGGTATAGAATATAGAATTTATAGAATCAACCAGGTTGGAAAAGACCTCCAAGATCATCAAGTCCAACCTATCACCCAACACCGCCGTGGTTACTAGACCTCTTATTTGTTTTTAGACAGGAATTCAATCTGAGGTACCTGTTCTGTACTATTAGTTTTACCTGCACAGGAAAACATTTTGGGAAGAGTGAAATAGTTTTCTGACTCTTCAAGGAAGATGCTACTATTGCTACTATTTTCTACTAGTCCTCTATTTCATTCAGAAGTTGCTGTAGCTTTTCCTAAGCATCTTAGAATACTGGCTGTTCAGTGTTTACCTTAAAATAATTAATATGACAGCATGTAAAAGCTATTCTGTGTCTTTGGAGTGGTCATATAAAGTCAAATGACTTTTTGTTCATCTTTCTTTTCTGATAATGCTTTGTTAGAAGTTCAGCAAATGTTAAGTCTTGCATATTGGTGTAGTGACCAGATTGTAGAGGATTTGAGAATCTTTAGTACTGCCAACTGCAACTATTAAAAAAAAAGATATCAAAATCCTGGCTTGAAAATGAAATTTAGAAAAAGACATGAATTTGTGGATTATACTTGCTCTTGTGTTATTTGACACTTGGGTGCTGTTTTTTTCAAGCTTTACTGCATAATGTTTTTAAGCTGCAAATGTAAAATAAGTGAAAAAATAAATCTGAAATGTTCATGAAATCCTGAGGCTTGGAGTGGAGCTGGGAAAAGCACTCAATGTCAAGAGAAAATGAGTTGTCTGAAGCAGAATTTTTGTTTCCATTTGTTGTTTTACTATGGGCAAACTACAATACCAATGTCTACTGTTTTTTAAAAACTGTGCATTTGAAATATAACAGATAAGTAAAATGTGGCATATTAATTTGGAATGAAGTTTAAACTGCATGACTCATGTCACATTGCATCATTCCACATAACTTGTTTCCTGCAATGATAACATGTGCATTTTTTGGGATAGTAATTTTTAAACTAGCTTGCAAATTTTGCCTGTGAAAAGGAAAGTGTCTGAACTCTAAATATATACCCAATTACCTAAATTCCAGCTATGTTATGTTGATTCTGCTGGTTTTTCTTCTGATTGGAAAGAGAAAAATCTGCTTTTAAAATTAGCAGATGGACTTTCAAACTACAAGCTATGAATTATTGAAAAAAAAATGGTAGAAGACTGAAATTATGGTGAAATCAGAGATAGGGATATGCAGAACAGACATCGGAAACTTATGGATGCCAATGCAAAACAGTTATGCTAAACGTGTTCAAGTGCTATAATATGACTGGCATTTTAATAACAGAAAACATCTGAGAGTTTGCTTATGAGCAGGATGCTATGTGGTTCTAGTCCAATCTAGGAGCTACTGGCAGCTGCTAGGAAAAGCTTCACACAAATCAGTTTTTAAAACTGCATCTTTCCTGATTGGTATTCCTGTTACATCTGCTATGGCAGATACTGTTTGAGGTGGGCATAGTCCTGATGTGGATATGATCTCTAAGCCTCTTAGTCAAGACCCTGGGTGACTGGGAGTGGGGTTAGCCTTACCCTCTCAAGCCCAAAGCAGCAGGGCAGTTTATTACCTGGAGCCCTACCTACACCCTACAAAGAGAACCTCTAAAAAATCTGTGCTAGTCAGGGCATCCTGGCACAGACAGAGCTATAATACCGCAACCAGAATCTATAGTCTTCAAGTCCTCCTCTACCTCCCTACCATCTTGTACTCCAGATCAGTTCCGTTGAGAATCCGTCACTTACAGATCGGCAATTTTCTTCAATTAATTAGTGACTGAGCATCAGTAAGAGCAATGTGGATCTCTATTCTTAGGTAAATTTGACCCCATATAAAACTGTGGCTCCGTTTCCTACTGCATGATGACCTTTCTATGAGGACATATCTCTGGTTTTGGGACACAGGTTCCACTTCTGTCTTAGTTTTAACAGCAAACTGGTTCTGCCAAGGTAAGGGCCAACCTGAATCCTTGAGATGTGAAAACAAGCAAAACCATTTTAAGAAACATACAGCTTTTTGATGCTACAAGCAGTGGTTTTGTGCCTTTCTACATGAGCCTCTTTGGATTTTTTTAAAAAGCAGCAAATTTTATTTAAAGGGAATTATAATAATAAAGACTTGTAAAATTTATATTTTTATTATAAGTATTAGGTTAAAGATGAGCAATGCATAAAGAGGTATCTGTCAAGGGACACCAAAAATATGGAGGCAATTTCTAGAAAAAAACCTGAGACTCAGCAGCTTGTGAGTAGCCATAAAGGCTGACATTAAATTAGGCTGCTAGACTGGGATGCAACTGAAGGATCAGTATTCTTGGGGTCAATGCCATCAGGTAAATATATAAAGAATCAGAAGTCAATTAAGGCCTTTAACTAAAAGTTTTGAATTTGAGAAGAAAAGATAGTCAAAGACCAAACTACCTTCACTCTTGTAAATTAGTTCTAATCGGAGAAGTGTGGGTTCTATTAAATTCGCATTGAGAGCATTAAAATGTCCAAATGGAAACCAATAAGAACACATCCCAAAACTGTCAGTCATCTTGTAAGTAACAGATTTTTGAGGAGTTTTATTACAGAAAATTTAGGCTAAATAACGCAATTGGTATACAGAGAGTCAGATATAAGAAGTCTAGTTCAAATGCTATTTAAATATTACACACAGGGTTAAGGAAGGAAAAATAGAGGAAGAACTTTAGAGAACTTGGAGTAAAATGAGATAGCTAAATACAACTGAGATATGGAAATGAAAATTTAAAAAAAAAAATCCAATGCAAACAGAACCCTTTTACTCCCACTGCCAAACATCTCTCTTACATTAGAAAGAAAAAAGGCCAGAAAATACCAGAATTACCTTCATTTAAATTATTAAATCCACATTTACATACCAATTAAAAATAGAGATATGTTCAGTTTTGAAGATGTCAAAAGAGAATTTGTCATAAGCATCCTCAGACTTCAGATTACCTGGGTTCTTTCACCAAGAACTTGATTCTAGAAATTCTAAGTCACGAAGGTCCCATATTCCTGTGATATCTGTGGAGAGATCTTGGTACATCATTATAAGCTTAACTGTATGTCAGTGCAACTTATTACACGATTCAAATCAAAACGTACTTTTGAAAACCTTCCCAAAAGTTTACATTAGTAGATTCTTACTGTTTTACTTTAGGACTATAACATTATACAATGCATTAGAGACTGAAGACAAAGAACAAAGAAAAGGCTTAATTACAGTTCCTGTGTGGAACATTACAAATATTATGGCAAGGATAAAGAAGACAAGATAAGAAACCAAAAATGAAAAAAAAAATAGAGATGAGAAAAATCACCTTAGAAATGACATCCTGAGGCCAGGGATATTGATGATGAATATTAATAATATTCGATCTCAGATAGTGCTGATGGTTCCAGCAAGAGCAGAGATTATGTTTATCATTATATTAGTCACTTTTCTGTGGCTTATTAGGAGAATTTTAGTTCAGTTGACTCTCCAATTCTGGCTCAAGTATTATGACCTGAAGGCAAAGATTACTCTGCTATACTTTCTATCATGGAAAAATGCATTTGATATATTTTTTAACTAGAAGAATAAACATACACAATATTCTGCAGGAAAAGTATGATAGAAGGAACCGTTACTGAAACTGTATTAAAAATGTAGTTCTTACGGTGAAAGTGAAAGACTTTTGCATATTTTAAGGTTGCTTCAGGGTATCCCAGCAACCCCTTGAAGTTAAAAAGAATGGTATCAAAAAGAGCCTTTTTCATCTTTTTCCAGACAGTACAAACCTCAGTTCCAAAACAGACTTTAAACTCACAATGTTCTCCATGCCAAGAGAAGAGTCTCTTAATTGCTATACTAGCTTTACTACTAGCTTTACTACTGCTATAGTAGCCATACTACAAAATTTACTTTACACTATGCTGCTATAGTTTGTCCTTTATACTGTACTATTACTGCTATACTAGCTTTGCTAATTGATTTACTATTTTATTTTACTTTATATGCTATTTCTGTTTCATATTACAAAATATACTGATTTATGTTACTTTTATATTAATTTCATTTTAACACTGCTATACTAGCTTTACTCCCACGCTGCACGTCGGGTGGGGGAAGACCTAAGGCGACTGAAGGCCCACATTAAGACCTTAAACCATATTGTCCGGGAGCTGCTTTATGATGACACTGCCGCCCTTGTCGCCCACACAGAAGCAGCTCTGCAGCGTTTAACATCCTGCTTTGCAGACGCTGCTGAGCTCTTTGGGCTGGAAGTCAGCTTAAAGAAGACAGAAGTTCTCTATCAACCAGCACCTCAGGAAGTCTTCCATCATACCCATGTCACCATTGGCCAATCAGAGCTCAAATCAGTCCAGTGCTCAAATCTTACCGTCCGACGGTAAGATTGACGGAGAGATAGACAACAGGTTAGCAAAGGCATATAGTGCTTTCGGAAAGCTTCATAAAAGAGTTTGGCGAAATAAACACTTGAAGAAAAGTATAAAGATCAGTGTTTACAGAGCCATAGTGCTGTCTACTCTCTTATATGGATCTGAATCATGGGTCATCTACCGCCACCACCTGCGTCTCCTAGAACGCTTCCATCAACGCTGCCTCCGTACAATCCTAAACATCCACTGGTCAGATTATGTGACCAATACATCTGTTCTAGAACAAGCAGCAGTCACAAGTATTGAGGCCACGTTGCTGAGAACACAACTGTGTTGGGCAGGGCACATCTCAAGGATGAAGGACCACCGCCTCCCTAAGATCTTGCTTTATGGTGAACTTGCCACCGGCTGCCACAAGAGAGGAGCCCCGAAGAGAAGATACAAGGACTCCCTGAAACAACATCTCAGCCTTGGCCATATTGATCAACATAACTGGTCTACTCTGGCCTCCAATCAGGAGGTCTGGAGACACACTATCTATAACGCTGCTGATCCTTTTGAGAAAGCACGCAGGATCACTCTCGAGGAGAAAAGACAATGCAGAAAGATTCGTGCCTTGCAGAATATACCTCCTAAGGAGTCTTTCTGCTGTGCCTTTTGCAACCGAAGTGCCTGTCTCGTATTGGCCTTTTTAGCCACCAGCGCACTTGTAACAAACGTGAGTAGAGCCCTTTCCAAATCTTCGTTCGTGAAGCCTAGCCATGACTAGCTTTACTACTCTATACTAGATTTATTACTACTATACAGGCTCTCCTACTATTGTAGGATAAGCATATCAGACATCATAGAGCTCATAACACTTCATTGTAGAAAATATGAGTACCGTCCTCTCAGTATGTATCTGTGCATGACATCTTGGAGAAGAAGTTTCCAATGTATGATGAGAAGGTAGAACGAGTAAGCAAGGAAAAGGTGCTGAGATATCTATTCCAAGGTTGCATTATATGAATGCACATGAAAAGCCTAAGTATAAACCTAGATCTACATCAAGTGTTGAATAAGTATACTTTATAAAGGTGATTCATGGACTAAGTCTGTACTGTATTTGTAAGCAGCACATTGGTGCACACTCAGGTGTCCATCCAAGGTGTGTGCATCAGCTGCATCTACATCACTGCAGTCTGTAGATTGTGTCCCACATTGGTTTCCCCTCACTACAAAATCTTAGTAGTTATAGATAATTATAGACCATTATTTTGCATTTATTCACCATCAATTTCCATTTCAAACACATGCTGTGACTGTCCCATGTACAGGGGTGCTCTCTGCTTCCCAAAGCCCACAGAGCATCACAATAATCTAAATCTGCTCTGCTGACATCCTGCCTACGAATGGTCATTCATTTCCACTCCTCCACCAGAAGAACCAGGACAAAATCTGCTAAGCAAGTCCTAACCTCCTACCAGGATAGACTGAGTCATAGCTGCCTCTGAGTGCCGTCTGTTCTCTGCTGTATGGAAACTCTGGACAAATGAAATTAATTTCTGATAGTGGAGAAACATCCCTCTCCAGGCCTGGAACAGCTGAAAACAGGTTTTCAGGATGCCAGTGAATTTCTGGCCAAGAATAATTGCATCTGCCAAGTGTTTGGTATACTCCTCTGAAGCTCTAGATCTAAGAAGGAAATCATTACCCCTTCAAGCTTAGTCATTCCTGGTCATTAGTTTGAGCTAAAAGAATCTACTGTCAAGATCATAAAGATGCTCACAGACCTCCTGCATATCATTCATAACTGAACAGTTTCAGAAGAATTCCTACACTCCTCCAGTGCCAGGCATTACACAGCATCCCCAACTTTTCAGAACCATAAACAGTGTTCACATCACCAGCAGACCATCACATCTCTGTAACAGGAGAGATGGTGGCCCTGCACAGACTGGTTCATGGCCTCCTTGACACCAGTTTCAGGAAGGAGGTGTGGGAAGCTGACTCATTTTTGGCTGGTTCTGATCAAAGATGGACATGCTGTAACAAACCAGGCTCTTATGAAGGAGTTTTACTCACTGAAGGAGTTTTACGCTAAAAATACACGAGGCTCCAAAAATCTGCCTGACAGATTTATTAAAAGGGCCTTCAGTTCTTTCATACTTCAAGGCCGCACGTGGCAGAAATGTTACGATGCTTCTTAGAGGGTCAAAATAACACACTTTTACTGGCAAACTTTGGAAAATAAGTGAACTTGGCAAAAGTTTAAAGCAAATATTCAATGAACATAAAGCATTTCACAAAGCATCAACTTAGAAAATTCCAAGCCATCCAGGTTTAAGTTACCCAAATATCAATAAAACAAAATTAGAAGAATGGGAAGAAGCGAAGAGAGAGAGAGAGAGAGAGAGAGAGAGAAAGAAAGAGAGAGAGAGAGAGAGAGAGAGAGAAAGAGAATTGTAGCTAACTACCAGGAGTCCAGGAACGGTAGACCATGAACCACGTAGTGGCCTCATGGTGCTGTTTTTATTTGCTCTGGATTCCATGGCCAATCCCTCCATGTGGGGCTTCTTGTCTGCCACCAATACGGGGCTGGGTTAGGGGCTCCAGGGAGTGTGTTGTGGGGCTTCAGGGGTGCCAATGGCTAATAGCCATTCTGGGATAAACTAAAGGCGCCAGGGACAGGTGGAGAGGATTGGCCAGTGCACCATCCCACCCTGGCAGAACTTGCCCTGCCCCCCCCCGGGTTGTTTCAATCCACTGAATTTCTTTCAGTCCCTCATACATGTACATGCACAGCCTTTCAGTTTCTCAATTTATAGCTGTGACTCTAAGCCATGAACATGAACCTGCAGTATGTTGCTGCAGTAAAAGTGGCCAACTACATCCTCAGCTGTATCAGCAAGAGAAGAGCCAGGAGGTCAAGGCAAGAAATCTATCCCTTCTATACAGTACTTGGAAGACCACATCTGGAGCGTTATGTCAGTTTTGGGCATTGCAGTACAAGGACGATACTGACACCTCGGAGTGAGGCCACTGGAGACAACCTAGATGGTTGTGGAACCTTCATCCTTAGAGACACTGAGAACTTGACTGAGTGAAGCCCTGAGGAACCTGTTCTTTCAGGAACTGCTTTGAGCATGTGGTTAGAGCAGATGACTAAATGTGTCTCCCAACCATAGTTATTTTATAAATAGATGTCTAAATGTTATTAGCAGCTAATCTTCATGAGTATGAAATTTAGCACATGGCTGCATCAAATCTTTTTTTCCTCACATAGGTCTCTAACTGGCACCAGAAATAGGAACAGAACCTCAAATGGATCCTTTGTATACTACAAATACAGTTCTTTGTAGTATGGCAGTAAGGGTTAGAGGTCCTTCCAGAAGGGTACATAGGTTTTGGGACCCTTGTGGAGGACTATAAGCTGGCCACACACAATATGATAGCATCCATAGTGATGGAAGTGAGACAAAACCTACTGAAAGTATCAGCTAGTCTCTGTACTCATGCTATGAAATGCTTTTTCTAGGACAGCCCCGGAATGTTGACAGCCCTTGAATATTGACAAGAAGCTGAACATGAGCCAGCAGTGTGCCCAGGTGGCCAAGAAGGCAAATGGCATCCTGGCCTGCATCAGGAACAGTGTGGCCAACAGGACCAGGGAAGTGATTCTGCCCCTGTACTCAGCACTGGTGAGGCCACACCTGAAGTACTGTGTCTAGTTCTGGGCCCCTCAGTTCAGGAAGGACATTGAGGTGCTGGAGCAGGTCCAGAGAGAAGCAACAAGGCTGGTAAAGGAACTCGAGCACAAGTCCTATGAGGAGAGGCTGAGAGAGCTGGGGTTGTTGGAATTGTTTAGCCTGGAGAAGAGGAGGCTCGGGGGAGACCTCATCACTCTCTACAAGTACCTGAAAGGAGGTTGTAGCCAGGTGGGGGTTGGTCTCTTCTCCCAGGCAACTATCTGTAGGACAAGAGGGCATGGTCTTAAGCTGTGCCAGGGGAGGTTTAGGTTGGATATTAGGGAGAAATTTTTTACAGAGAGGGTAATCAGGCATTGGAATGGGCTGCCCAGGGAAGTGAAGGTTTTTAAGACGAGACAGGATGTGGCACTTAGTGCCATGGTCTAGTAACTGCGGTAGTGTTGGATCAAGGGCTGGACTTGATGATTGCAGAGGTCTTTTAACCTGGCTGATTCTATGATTCTATGTGTTCACCAACATATAGGCAGTACAGAAAGTCAGTGGACCAGCATCAGTGGCAAAAACTGGGAGTGTAAAAACACCACAATACTGAAGTACCCAAAATAGGTTTGGTCAGAGCATTTTTCACCTTCTGATCATCACTAGCAGGTCAGTGCAGTTTTTCAGGGCAGGTCTGCTGACAACAGTGCAAGGCTGTCCAGCTCCAGACACAAGTGAATCTATTGCCATTATGACTCCTGTAATCTATCACAGCTCAACCTGCAGAATATAGTGTGTCACAGTAAATGAGACATTGGATTGTAATTAAACTAGAAATTAAACTGTAAATAATTTCTGCAAATAACTATTTCCCTCCAAAGAAAACCTCCAAGGATTTTTAAGAAGTGACCACAGGAAAAAAAATCAAATAAGTTCTATTTAAATTAGAGTACAAGGGAAAGCAAACTAACATAAATCTTGTGGAAAAAGTCAAACGTAGACATTTTTATGAACCCCTGTATGACAAAAATGGCATGGCCAGTTTCCTTAAAAAAAAAAATCAATTTCTTCAGAGATAAAGCTTAATAACTTGCAGAGGGAAAGCCAA